CATTCGCCAAATGAGCCGGTAAATGTGCACATTCACCCCGAAATATGCACATTTACCGTAACATATATATATTATATATATATATTAGGGTGGTACTTAATATGGACATTTTCGAATTTCCTTGCTTCCAAGGGATCATATGGTTCCAAATGGATAAAAAACAATCCTCTGAAGTTTTAGCTCTTATATATTAACTTTTAGATAGTGCACCATTCAATCAAACTTCGTATGGAAATAGCATGAAAAATTTGAAAAATAAAAAAAAAAATAGGTATAACTTAGCGACAAATGAATTAAAAATGAAATTTGTGTCATTTTTCATTGAAAATTCAACGCCCTGCAAATTTTTGAAATTTTTTTCATGCTATTTCCATACAAAACTTTGATTGAATTGCGCTCTATCTAAAAGACAATATTAAGAGTGAAAACTTTCAGAAAATTGTTTTTTATCAATTTGGAACCATTTGAGCCCTTGGGAGCAAGGAAATTCGAAATGTGTACATATTAAGGACCCCCCTGATTAAATATATTTATTGTGTGTATGTGTGATTAATAATAATATAGAGATACCTATCAAAGATATCAAAGTGTTTTATATTTTATATATCAACCCCCTTTACACATATAATTTCATTAATACTATATTTATTTTAATTAAATATTAAGATTTCTCAATAAATGATGTGTGTTTACCTTTACAGTATTTAGAAAAATTGTTAGAGAATTAAAGGACATCACTCAAAAAATATTCAGATACTCTACTCTTGCAAATCTGCAGCATGACTCTCGATTGCCTTCGTAAAAGAGTCAGCATTTCTGTGAAATGTGACGTTGTACTATCTTCAATTGTCAATGAATGTGCCCAGAAGTATTTACACACATCAGAATTATGGCAACGAATTGTGGATGGGGTAAGGACTATATATTGTGTGTTATTTGACTTTTGAAAAATCTTATGTGTTTTGCTTTTGAAAATTTTTCTACATTGTAATAGATTTTTTGTCACATACCTGAATCATCTCAGTCATTGAACCATTATGTGGTAGATGCTTTATATAAGTACAGAGGCTTTATATCCACTATCATAAGATAAGTTTTAATCAATGACGAAAATTCAATTTTTTTCAGAAGAGAGTATTATTGCAATGAGCATTTTTTTATAGTTAAAACGGATGGTCAAAATTACACAGCTTATGGCCATCTGGATACATTGTTTTATTATATCATAAAATATGCAATAATACATTTGTTATGAATCTTCAACAGCACAGCATCCATGAATAGTAATATTATATGATCTAAGTATTGTTTTAGGCAGAAATAGAATGATTATAAAATAAAAACAGAAAAATTAATCATAAAATACATCTATTGATTTTTAAATAATTTCAAAGGTTTATCAAATTCCTTATTTTACAAGTTATTGTTAAGTTATTTTTTTAGACTTATTAAAAGTGTAATAAAATTACATTTTTTTTTCTTATTATTATTGTTTTTACTAAAACATTTTCTTTTATCATATTTAGGAAGTCGATTCGGAAACTGATATGTCCATGAACGAGGATAGTATTTCCGTTGTTAATTCCGTGAAGAAAATGAAGAAATTTGCATATTTTATAATTTGCACAATCTGAATTATTTGAATTTATGGCCTCATTTTTCAGAAGAAATAAACGCCTTTCGGAATGGTATCGTAGGCAATAGCTTTCCTATTGAGGTTTGTTAATTATAATATATGAATAAAAATTGTTAATTAATTTTTAAATAGTGAATGATATTGTTTTTTCTTTTCGAAACATTTTCAATTTTGAAGAAGTTTGTTTTCTTTAAAATGTCTGATTTGCTAATTTTGTTTTCTCGATATGTTTTCAATATATTTTTATAAATACTATAACTTTCATTATTCGTATTTTATCATTTCAAATATAAACTTAAATGCCATGCGATGCCTAACATAATGAGTTTAGTTTATTATATGATTAACTATTGAATTATTGCTTTAGGGAGCGATTTATTGTTTATATGCCTGCGGAGCCTATCTTTTTTGGGAATTGCAAGATCTAAAATCAAAGAATGATATTGAACGAGCCGAGAAACTTAAATTAAATTTGGAAGGATACGTTGTAATTTGCAATGGCATCATTTGCAATGTCGATGATGACGATATGTGTCGTGCGGTAAGTTGAGCAAAAATTATAATATATATAATATATATGTTAGGGGTATGCACCCATTTGTAATAATTATAAATAATATTGTCATGAATTCCCCTTTCATTTGTTACTATTCTTCTTAATCATGCTCTAATTTGTTATTATTGTTTGGACATTCGCGGTCTTTCTACAACCTTACCGTGACGTCGCGATCCTGTAAGAGACTGGTTACTTGTGTCTTGTATTTAAGCTTGTGAATGATGCAATAAACGGTCAGTGTGAGTTAAGACGAGTATGAGTAAATATCAGTATGAATTCAAAGTCAGTATGAGTTTATTCATCGTTCAAGTTTCATACTCAGTTTTCAGTAGTCATTAGTTCATAAAGTCTGATTAGTTTCTAAGTGTTGAAGTAATATGGAAAGTATGAAATAAACAAATACATCATCGACATTAACTGTTTTACTGATCAAGTCTTCCAGCTTCATCGGTGGACCTTCTACGTTGTTGCGGCTATGATGTTAGATTTGGTTTGTTTCTTGGTCGCTTCTGGTTCCATTTAGTTGCGTAGTGGTAAAGCCTAGCGACCCAAGATTGACCTGCCACTGGTGTTGGCGACTCAAACGAGCACTAGTTTGATTTGTTGTCTCTTCAGAGCTGGGTTGTTCCTAAAGTATAGGCCTGAAGACTTTTATGGTAGCAATGAAAGATAGCCTCCTTCCAACCACTTTATTTGATAACACTTTACACTTTACAACTTTAAAATATTTTACTGGATGTTATAGTGTTTCTGATGTCCAGGATTTTACTACTAATTTCTTCACAATTAGAGTTCCATTATATACTAATATTTTTCGGTCACCAACAACAAAACAAGGCGCTTGTATATTATATTGTTTATAGCCTCGATAAAAACTCACAAAAGCGATATCTTTGTAAATACATATTTTAACTAAATCTCTAATCTCTAAAATATAATATCTGGAACAATTAATAAAAATTCTTTGTAAAACAAATTAGTTTCTGTCTAACTTTATACAAAAATGAAATCGAATAAATTCACAAAGTAAATGAAAATTAATCAACATTATAAGAAAAATCTTTTTTTTTTCTTCTAGCAAACGAATCTCACAAACGTTTACGAAAATTAGTCTTAGTTATATACTAATATGTATAGATCAAAATAAATATGTAATCTGGTTTTACTAATTCTAACTTAAAATCTTTGTAATTAGATTCAGCATTTCAAGAATATTATAAACAACATTTCGACATAAGCAAATTAAATCTCTAATAATCACTCGAACCGCGTGATTTTTTATTTATTATTTTTTATTTTCGTGCCAGCACATTTTGTGAACTGCCTTTACAATCGCGCATTAAACCCATAATTCTTAATATAAATCCTATAACCGTAATCAATACTATTTAACTTATATATACAAAATAACATTTTTTTTTTTTTTTGCATACTTTTATTGTCAATCAAAATAAAATACATAAAATAACATTTGAAATATCTTCGCTTACGTACAGTTCTAAGTGTTCTAACAATCATTTGTACACACTTCTATAGTAACAAATATTTCAACAACTATATAAACTTTTATCTATAATTATCCCAGTTTAAATAAAGAAAAACAATAAAGGAATGTAATGAAAAACAATGAAAATATGCAATCAATGTGTCAATTCTGATAATTCCGTCCTCTTCAGCCTTTTTTGATGCCTGACATTATATAGACTTGCTCCGAGCTCATTGGGGTGTTCATCGATTTTATTTTTGTACCTTTGGGCAATCTTTTTGATTTCTTCTTTTACTGTGGGAGTACGTGTATCTTGGTTCTACTTTCAGTTTGAGGACAGATTCTGATACGCTGTCCCTCATAACATCCTTTTAGCTTACATTATGCCCAATATCTATTCTATTAAACATTTCGCGCACTGCACTGCGCTCATCCCTTCGACTTGTAACCGACTACCATATTATATCGGCTATTACTTTCGTTACCAAACTTTTTATTTAAGTACTATTCTTATCAGGAACACTTTTTACATTTTAGGCTGTGCTTGCAATTTGTGATCTATCCTTGAATTTCAACTCAGAATTAGGCACCAATCCAAACGACATAATACACAATCTGGTTTTAAACCCTTGACTCGGACACTATATCAACAATAAACCAATTCACGGAAGAGTATGTTTTCACAAAACATCTGACAGGTAATGATTAAAACAAAATTATATTAATTGTAACTGATTTTTATGCTTTTTATTATCCTAGAGGGACATGATAAAGATTCAAACCAGATATCTAAACGTCGTGAAGTCTTGGAACGGTTTTGCAAAATTATAGGTTTTAATATTATACCAGGGTATCATGCTGCCTTTGTTCTAAAGTATTATGTAAAGGTAAAGTAATTATAATTGTAAAATGGTACGATAGTGATCGAGCCATTTTTACACCACACATTTAAAATTCTTATTCGATTTAATAATTTTTCAACTTTTTTATTGTTTAAATTTGGTCATCAGTACAGATTTAAAAATAAAATCAATGTTGTATACTTCATATTATGTGAATACATTTCTTTTATTTCATTATTTATTCAGAAGATGGTTTGAATAAATATTATTATTATTTTTTATAGTGTAATAAATGCTATGGCGATATCATAAAGAATTTGGTTGCCAGGATGCGTCAGCTTAACCTCATAAACAGCACCCTGACCATGTGGTTGGCTTTGTCACAAATGTATACGGACTTGCAAACTACACTTGGTGATAATAAACGACCTGATGGAACTGTTAAAGAATTTGCAGAATTGAAGGTATGCATTTTCTTAATTCAATGTAATATAAATTTTTGAGATCATTAATATTTTATATTATATTTATGCTAACAAACTTCATAAAGCGACATGTGTGGCTGGCAGAGTTTTTATTATTATCTTCCTTAAGGATAAGTTTCAATGAAACCAAATTGAAAAATATATGTGTGTAAGTGTATGTGAGCCAATTTTTGACATTGTATCGACGTTTCCCAATAAACGACATTACAGATTTCAAAAATTTCAATGCCATTTCAAGCTCTGTTTATTTTTTTTAACTTTGTCAAGGCGAAAAACCATGGCAAATTAACATAATATATTAACCCGGTGCCAATGACGCTGGGTCATAATGACCCGAGACGTTTTTTAACGAACATATATTTTGTTTACCCGGGTTATGTGGTTTAAGCGTTTGAGTAGCTGAAGCGATGCCTCCCCGCTACCCGCCCCGATGGTTCGCTCAGTGCGACGCCGCCCGCGCAACGAGCAACTCGTGCGTCAAGTCCAATCGGGTATGTTTGACCCAGCGTCATTGTAAATGTAATATTTTCGTGACATACTTTTATTTTCTATTTAGTGATTATAGTGACATATTATGTGACCAATTTAGAAATATATAGCGGAAAGCAGCCAAGTGGCCCATACTCACTCAGCAACAAACCTTTTGACGTTGTAAATCGCGTCGTCTTGCCCGTTTCTAAAAGCCATCGTAACATAACATTCGACAATTGGTTCACGAGTTATGAATTAGTATCTCACCTCCTAACGGAACATAAACTTACAGCAGTTGGAACCTTACGCAAAAACAAACGGCAGATTCCACCTCAATTCATTACAACACGTGGAAAATGTCCAGGATCATCTACCTTTGGACATCAAAAGGACATAACTCTAGTCTCCTACATTCCAAAGAAAAATAAAGTTGTCTTATTGATGTCCAGTCTACATCATGACGAAAAAATTGATGAGTCTACAGGTGACAAAAGGAAACCAGACATCATATCCTTTTACAATCACACCAAGAGTGGAGTGGATGTAGTGGACAATCTTTCTGCGTCATACAACGTGAGTAGAAACACAAAACGATGGCCATTGACTATCTTTTTTGCAATGCTAAATATATCGGAAATAAACGCAAACATAATATACCGGGCTAATAATGATGATACACGCATGAAAAGAAGACATTTCCTAAAAAATCTGGGACTCGCCATGGTGCAGGAACATTTACAAGTGCGACGAGCTCGAGTGAATTTACCACGTCAACTGCGCAAAAGAATCGCACAATTCACAGGTGAAACCACAGATGAACCACCTCGAAAGATTCTAGGCGTTCGCAAGAGATGCCAAATATGTCCGTCCAAAAAAGATAAGAAGACAAGTCATACCTGTCATGAATGTCAAATTTATATATGCCCTGATCATTTTATTACCTACTGCAATAATTGTAGTAGTTCGATGTCAGTAAATGAGGAAATAGAAGACTGATTGGCATTTATAATTAAAAATAACTTAATTTGATCTCTTTTTTAGTATTATAAGATGTTTGTTACCAATGATTATTAACATTACTTAAACCAAAACTTATAATTAACATATGTTGTTTGTTCAAAGTTGATTTTGCATGTCTTGTTAAGTATGTCAATAAAAGTTTAATTATTATATATTAGTTTTATTTTATTTATTTTTATGCAGAAAATACCTTTATTTAGTAAACATTAATTACAATTTAGTAAAAGTATATATTTTTTATTATAAATCCTCAATAAAACGTCGGGTCAAAATGACCCAACGTCATCGTTCTTGCAATTTTTTTCGCGTCATTGGCGCCGGGTTAATTGTTATTTAGTGATCATTTAAAATTTATTAATTTGTTCAGATATAAAAATAATTTTTCTCTAAAATTTCGTATATTCTAAACTAAAATATCTGACAATTTGGTATGCTTATGTCCAACCAATATTTTTGATAATCAATTGGCATTTTTTTAACTTATGATATAACTTAACGTATGAAGATAAGATTCGTTTTCTCAGGTCCACCTATTTTATCTATTCAGCCGTTTTTAATAAAACTTCGACGAAATATAAATATTGACTAATCACGCTAAAAAGCGCTGCCAATTTCACAAAATTCGACGAATTTTTTAAATTAAGTGATTTGTCGATTGTCATCGAAAACAGTTTATCATCAAAAAATGTTTCATGAAAGTCGTCGAAAATTTTTGTTTAACAGTTAATTACAAGAAATCACCCCGGCCTAACTGATCTTCAACAAAAACTAATCAGTGCGGTTTCCAATCAATATCTTCCGAATGTGGACGAAATATTTTTCACTTTTTTGCTTATTACAAAGAAACGGCTCTGCCGCTCGTCGCCGAGTATTGGTCAATGTCGGTCAATGTCGGTCAATATTGGCCAATATTGATCAGTACTGGTCAATATTGGTCGATATTGATCAATATTGGTCAATATTGGTCAATATCGGTCAATTTTGGTCAATATCGATCAATATCAATCAATATCGGTCAATATTGGTTAATCAATATCGGCCAATATCGGTCAATATCGGTCAATATCGGTCAATCTTGGTCAATATTGGTCAATATCGATCAATATCAATCAATATCGGTCAATATCGGTCAATATTGGTCAATCAATATCGGCCAATATCAGTCAATATCGGTCAATATTGGCCAATATTGGCCAATATCGGTCAATATCGAAACAGAAAATTATTTTGGATTCTTTTGCGATTACTATAACTGACCCTACGAGAAATTGAAAATTATATCTAAATTGTTTAAAATAAAATATTTAATTAAAAAAGTAAAATTTTGGTTATTAAAAGGGGCGCCTGATTAGATAGGGCCTAGGACGGCAGTAAGCTTAATCCGCCACTGTTAATGATACTTGATGCAGCGATAGAGTAACTGTTGATCATGCTTCAATAATAAAAATGAATTCAAAGAATCATTTGTAAAATTCATAAAATAGTCCTAACTGAATTTTCAATAATGTCTAATGAGAACTTCTTGTACATAATTGAATAATCTGCAATAGTTACTCACATTATGAAGCCCATAGATAAATAAGCTTAAATAGATCGCTATCTTGGGCCATTTGACGTTACACTCATTTTAAATTACGAATAGATCACTACATGGCAGCACATGTACATACAGTATGTAAATTAACCCCTGGTATTACTTATACATTTGTACATAAAATCAATACAGCCCAAAAATCTGAAAAAAATTATTATTTGAAATAAGAACAAAACATACGAAATACAAAATATATTTTCAAATATATCACAGACATATTTTTGAAGAATTATAAACTAAACAGAAATAACTGACTACTATTAATTAAAGTATATTACAGACATATTTTTAAAGTACTTATTCTATTAATATTCTAGAAATAACTTATTCATATTAATTACTTAATGACTAATAATAATATATTAAAAACTTAAAAACTAAGAAGTAAAAAGCGCAGGAGTATTGATGATGGAATGACAAATTTAGAAGGAATGACAAGTAATGCAATTTATTTATTTATTTATTTATTTATTTATTCATAAGCAAGCCGTAATCAATAATAATAGATATTATTTCAGGCTCTTGTCAATAATTTAAAAGGATAAAAAGAACAGCACATTTTTAAAAAAGAATGAATACTTTCCAAACAAAATAATCCTAAAAACAAAACATATATATATATATATATATATATATATATATATATATATATATATATATATATATATATATTGATATCCAAATTGAGATAAAACTAAATTCCTAGGATTAAAATTCATTTACGAGACATTCTTGTTTATTATCTCTCCATTTAATAGTTATTTTGCTATCTAATCAATCATTAATAAAGTAATATTTGTTAAACCCTGAACTACTTTTAATTTATACCAATTGTAGCTCAAATCTATCTATCGTTTTAATCCAGTTTTTATTGCAAGGAGGTTTAGTTAAAACTAGTGATGTGCCAAGTCGAATCAAGTGATTCGAATCATTCGAATCAAGCCTTTAACGACTTGATTCGAATCAGATTTTACTTGATTCGAATCAACTCGCATCAAGCCGCGAAATATTTACTGTGATAAAATATGTATTAACACAAATTTTTCATAAATATAAAATTTTTCATAAATATAAATATAAAAAAATGTTTTAATTTAATTCAATATTATAATAATATAAAAAATAAATATCATAAATATAAAAAATAAATAATGAATTAAATCATGCGAGTCACCTGACTTTAATATGCTTAAATGTATCAGCCAACTCCAATCGTCTTTGTGTGACTTTAACCGCATTCATCGACTAACTATATCATCCGACTTCATATGACTCAAACCGAATCAAGCGGCGATATGAGTTGTTCCGACTTTAATGACTCAAACCGAATCAAGCGGCGATATGAGTTATTCCGACTTCATGACTCAAACCGAATCAAGCGGCGATATGAGTTGTTCCGACTTCATATGAGCCAACTCGAATCAAGCGGCGTTATGAGTTGTTCCGACTTCATGAGCCAAACCGAATCAAGCGGCGTTACGAGTTATTCCGACTTCAATTCTGATTCGAATCATCCCGACTTCAAGCCGTTCGAGCGATATGAGTTCAAGCGATATGAGTTAACCGTATGGGCGATACAATGCGTCGTCGTTCTTGCGTGTTTATTTATTTTACGGAGCGCTGAGAGCGATTTTATTCGTGAAATATCAATACCCAATTTTGATAATAATTAAGTGTTTTTGATTTTAAATGTTATCAGAATAAACCACTCGAAATTATGAAACGAGTTTCTGGAATCTTGCAATATAATTCTCTTTTGAAACAATTACTAAACACCAGAAAGTCAGCAAATAATATGTTAACTTCTGATTATGTAAGTAATGGCAAATTCACATTAATGAAATTAACTTTCAGCTCTCAGTTTAGATGCGATCCTTTACTGATTACATAGTAAAATAAACAATCGACCCATGATTCCAAATATTATTTTATATGCTTTAGTGATGCACAATTGTTTGGTAATCTATTATTGTAAATTAATTTGAAGATATGTTTTAGCCGTCCTCAAAATTACATCATTTTTAATAATTTTCAGAATATACTTTTTGATAGTGATTTATGTTTACAATTTCTACTTTGTCGGTTATATTGGTTAAACTGACAATTTTGATTATAAATTTGGATCACTTTTACTAAATTAATACATCCATCATTTTTTTTGTCCATATATATACTTGATTCGAGTTGATTCGAATCATGATTTGAATCAGGTTTTTTTCTGATTCGAATCATTCGAATCGGGAATTTTTCGAGTCGGCACATCACTAGTTAAAACTATAACTAAACTCTTGCGCTTTATAAACTTAGTTTTAGTCTTTGAGTATGCTCTTTTAATTGAGACATTATCAAAATCCTTGCCCTTACATTTTAAGTTTCCGGAATATTTGAAAACTTCTCAGAACATTGTATTCTCTGTTGGAATTTATCCTTTAAATTATTGCATTGCATTTTAATCCCGAAACAAAATTTGATGTATCATACATCTTCTGGGTGTTAAGGCACTCCTACGCCTTATCATTGCATTCTGCGGCAATTTGCAGCTACCATCAAGGACTTCTATTGAATATATTGTTATATCATATTAATTGAAGATATTGTAATTATCATATTAAATATTTTTGCTGCAATTAGTATGAAAAAATACCTTTTCGGAAAACTGGTATCAGAATAGGTGACTTTTAACCTGCACTTCACAATCTTAGAGGTGCTGCAAAAATCTTTTTCAAGGTGTTTAGGCTTCCATCTCCTAAGAACATAAGATTTATTTATTAATATTTTTTTGAAAATGTTATTGAAGTATTTAGAGTTATAATTACTTGGCTTTGTCCTTGGAGTTGCAGATTTTTCTTCTGGTTCTGTATCAGAGCATTCTCCAGTGACTTGAAAACTATTCTGTTATTGCCGTAAAGGAGACACTTCTATTTGGTTTCGATTTCAAATTATCGTTGATTTGTGCCACAAACCGAAGAGTTAGGTCATCCATTAAAAGATTATTCGCCCTCTGCATCCAAATTGAAAGCATCTTTTTACACACAAATTTTTACACACAAATATATATATATATATATATATATATATATAATATATATATTTACACAAATACATATAAGTATATATATATATATAACATTTTAATAGTATTGTGATGATACATATTCATTATATGCATAATACATCATTATATACATACCTGATAATTAGATGCCGGAAAGACATGCATTTTTTTATTTTATTTGGGGTTATAACAATTTGGCACATAACACTTTATCATTTTAACTTAATAATAAACGAAAAAAGTATTCACCAAAACATAATTATATATAAACAATCACAGAAAATCTCAACTACAATACACGATGACAACTTGACAACTCATAGAAAATGGCCGACCAAATCAATGTAGATCTAGCCAGCTGCTAGATCAATGAAATTGGAAATCGTAGCGCCATCCTTCGAACTATTCCAATACCAATCCATTTCAAAACACGGTAATCTACATTTGTTCGGAGATTACCGGCCATGGTGAAGCCCTACAGCATCTCGGCATACTTATAAATCACTCATAAATTAATAAATTGAATTTTTATTGATTAATTCGATTATTTATGGTTAAGCTCATTAATTTTAATATAAAAATTACAAATAACAATAAATAAGTCGCAAAAAAATATGAGAAAACCACCCTCAAAATTAAAGGCTTGAAGGCTGAAAGCTAACGTTTGAACTGATTACTGTGACTGAACTGTGGCAATGACGCTCAAGATCAGACAGGATTGTGATTGACTATTGTGTCATTTTGCTCATATATACAATTTGCTCCATATTTTTCCCACTAGCTCCACTAGCAAGTTTTCTGTTATTTTTAGGTTTTCATTTTTTACTCGATTTTTTTCATTATGGGCCTATTATTCTCTACTATTAATTTTTTACCATTTTATAACCTTGATTAAATGCACCAACTATTGATGGAACTTGCTTGTCGTACCAAACTTTAAACTAACAAAAATAACGAAAATTAACGACAGTAACTCAAAAATAGTTACAGTTTATTTAAAGACTTGGGTTGCACCTAAAAGCTCATAATAGTTTAACTACATGGATTTTTTCTATTTAGTTGGTTATAGTTGCGATATATGTTATCACTCCAATTCGACTTGACGGCAGGTCTAGCAGTTACGGAGATAAAGAGCAAAGAGTGCAGAAAATAGAAATCGAGTGTTTGAGAGAACGGAGCAACCGATTTGAATGATCTAAAAAACATTCTATTAGTAATGATTGGGAGAAGTGGTTATTAGTTTTAGGCATAGGCAGGACCAGCCATTTCGAAGATACAGAGCTAAATGTGCAAAAAATGGCAGTTTTTGAGATAACTAAGTGTCCGATTTAGATGATTCAAAAAACTTTCTGCCTGTTTTAACAAATAAATGATTTTGGACAAAAAAAAATTTTTCAAAAAATTTTTTTTCAATTTTTTTTTTCTTTGAAAAAGATTTTTTTTGGAGATCGAAAATAATTCAGATTTTATTTTTAATTCAGACTAAGTTCTAATATACTTTAAACAAATAATTTCAACTTTGCAATTCAGTTTATTTAATTCTTATAAATATTAGACAATGTTACAATATTTATAATAATCTATTTGAAAACATTCAATATTTCTCGAACATTTCGTTACGGTACGGGAAGTTCCAGCAATTTGCCTTAAGGCACGATGCCACACACCACATTAATTTGATTTTTTGCATGAGTTACAGAGTATACAATTTTATATGAATACTCGAAGTAAGATAATCATATTTCTAATCTGTTCTTTAGACTTTGGCCAGATATCTATCGCTAATGTTGGGGCTTGACAAAACAAAAAATCGCGATGCAATTTTGGAGCTACACAAGGCTGGAATTTTGTTTGCAGTTGATAAATCTGGAAACAACAAAGAGCCTCCTATTCGGTTGCCGTTTCTAGAAATATTGAGTGAATTTTCAGGCAAACTTTTGGCGCCGGATAAAAAAGTTATGTGAGTATAAACTTTGACTTTGATATATATATATATATATATATATATATATATATATATATATATATATATATTTATAAATATATATATATATATATATATATATATATATATATATATATATATATATATATATATATATATATATATTATAATATTGTATGTCTGTCATTTGAATATAACGGCCAAGAGTGTCTATCCTGACGTGTATGTGCTCTATGGTGTGTCATATGTAGAGTGTCTGATCCCTTACGGAACAGAAGTATGTATCTGTGTGTGCAAGTCGGTGTCTGGCGGTAACTTGAGTGTTGAACAGTTCGGCGTTGTGTTAATTTGGTGAATTATTAAATGTATTTGTATGAAGTAAAAGGTGTTTTATTAATTAAATAATACTAGGGTAAATCTAGCTTAAAGCTCAGAAGTGGGATTGGATCAAAACGTGGAGAATTTTATTAGAGAACATTATTGGTGTGGATTATTGAAATAGGCGATTTCAGTAATCTTTTTTTTGGAGTGCCCGTGTTATTAATCAGGCGGATTATAATTACGGGGTGCGATAGAAAGCAAGGTGTGCTTCGCTATCGTACAGGTGCAGGTGTTATTTTGTAAGTTTGTGTGTTTTGTGTTGTTGTGCTAAAGTGAGGTTAACACGTGGTTAACCAAAATAAGAACAAAGTGAAGAGAAAATATCAAAAGCAGGGCGTAATATTGACGTTGGCGAGTCGCGGAGCTGCGATGTGTGTAATTAAAAACTGGAGATTACGAAAATAAAATAAGATTTGGTGAGATGGCTACTGGTGGTGATGCTGAGAGCTTGGTGCCCGAAGCCTTAAGAGTGCTATCGTTGACGGACTTGATTAATCTTATTAGGGCGACAACCAGTAATAAAAACGATAGCATCTCGAGCAGCGAGTGGTTGGCGACGATACCGATATTCGACGGGTCGTCTGAGCAATGCATCGAGGCGTGGTTTGAACGGGTTGAGGCCGTCCGGGATGCATACGAGGAGCCTAAGAAAAGATGGCGGTGCTGATCAGGGCCTTTTCACTTAGAACAAAATCCTCGTTCAGAAGGAATACTTAGGGGTCCATTTGTAGTCGCAGATTTGGCGCTAGTGAGCCGATGAAAAAGTATTTTCAAATGTTTTATGTTGGTTACTAAGAAACGTCAGTGTTATTTTTGTATAAGTTTACAAAATGGCGATTCTTCTTCGTTTGTGTTTGTATATTTGTTAATAAAGATTTCATCAGGAATTGCTCTCAAATGCATAGCCCTTTGACAATATGAATAGAACAGCTTCAAACTCATGTGGAGGACATAATTACTACATTACTACGTAGTGCATTGACATATTAGTCTAATCATAATACACTTTAAGGAAAGAGATCAGTTCTAGGAAATTGTGTAAGAAATCAAATATACGCTTCTACAAGAAAGACATAATACACAAATAGAAAGCTAATTTAAAATTGGATTACCACTTCACGCGGATCTGAATATACTTGGGAAAAAATGAATTGTTTAAGAATGTCAAATTTTGCACGGGATGATTATTAGTTAATGAGAGTTAAGAATGACAGACGATGTAATGAACTAACACTATAATGCATTATTCACTAAATTTCACTGAATATTTATATTAATAAGTAGAAAAAAGTGTAGAAGTTATTTCAGTAGATTAGATGTGATATCTATTATATATAAACCGGTGTATTGCAGTGTATTTGTTGATTTATATTTCGATTTCATTGTATATTTATTATAATATAATATTATCTAGTATATTTATGTTATTATTGTATCATTAAAAAACATAATAGGATTGTAATACATTTCAAATACCCGTGTATTAAAATTCATTAATTTTCATTTCAAATTTTGCGCCATTAATTTGAGTGCCAAAAGCAGCGCCACCACGTCGAGCGGAGGACCCTTTAAGTATTCCTTCTGAACGTAAAAATCGGGCGAGAGAAGCGTCTATATGAATACGGGGTATTCTAATATTGTCTAGGGTGCTGATAACATCGAAGCTGTCGGGGCGGGCGAGGCGATTATATGACAGCAAGGCAGAGTATGCGACATATTCATACGACGAGCTGAAGAGGGTGCTAACAGCGTTTTTCAAAAATGGAGAAGACAGGATGACTAGAATGAAGCGGTTTGAGTCTCGGAGGTGGCGAAAACAGGAACCGTTTAGCGCATACTTTCAGGAGAAGATGGCGCTAGGGAATAGGTTGGGTTTTATGGAGTCCGATCTACTGGCTTATATGATAGACGGCTTCGACAACCCGCCACTCCAGGCTCGAACCAAAATGAGCCAATTTAAGGATTTAGCAACTCTGTTAGGTGTAATGAACGAGTTGACAGCGGAGGAACGCGGATGCAATATGATGCCGCCTACGATGGTACAGCCAACAGTGTTTCCTAGAGTGGAACCACAGGGCACATATCCTACGGTGAGGTGTTTTAATTGTGGTGGAGTGGGACATATGGCATCCAGGTGTACCAAACCTAAGAACGATGGAGTGGCGTGCTATGACTGTGGCTCAAAGGAGCATCAGCAGAGATTCTGCAAAAATGTCCGGAGTACGGCGCAGGTGGCGCCTGACAGCACTACATTTCGAGTTAACGAAATATTGGCGATTGATGGTGAGATTACCACAGACGGAGCAAATATAAATATATCAGATGAAAATGACTACGAAGTGGTAGCGACAGTAGAAGACCTGGAGAGTGAAAAACCGGAGGAACCAGAGACTGCATTCGAAATGCATGGAGTGATAGTGAAATATATTTCCACTATTTTCACTTATATTTCCACTTTTTTCGTAAATTACCAAACAAGAGCCATAAAAAATCATTTTTGCCAAGAATTCCGTGCGTTGTCCTTTACATCTGGCAGACAGAAATCCATATCAGTGTGTTTAAGTCTTGTGTAGTCGTAAAATCTACAAATATCTTCAAAAAAAAAAATCGAGTGTTTTTAACAAAAAAATATTAGTGATATGGATATATAAATTATTACAGGTAAATAATTTTTGCTTCTCAATTTTATATAAAACCTTTTTTAGTTAAGTTTTATTACTCTTTACCCCGGTACATAATCCATTCCTTTATAAAATTTTTTTTTTCTTTCTAATTAATCTGTATTGACCATCGTTAATTAATGTTAATCAATATTTTTTTAAAAAACATTGTATTTGACAGAATAAACCTGATGATGGAACGTACCTAGTTCCGAAACGTCGTATTAAACATCTTTAAAAAACAAATTGTTTTTTATTATTGGATTTACTGTTCGGAAAAGAAACAATCAATATATATATATATATATATATATATATATATATATATATATATATACTAGATGATCCGACAGGCGTTGTCCTGTACCCACCTCTACGTTGTTTTAATATCTTATACTAATATTTATACCGTTCAGTTAAAAATAATCATTATTGTTTTTCGAGTTACTATTTACATCAATATATGAGTGATGTTAAATGTAGTACTGTTTCAAATAAAATGATTATTCTCAATTCCCACAGTTAACACTTTAATTATCCCGTTAACAAATAATAAAATATGTTCAATAAAATTATATATTAGAAAGTATACACTGCGATTTATAGAACAAATTTATTTCCAATAGCTCAATTTATTTTATTGAATTTAAGGGTTATACAATATTTTTAGACATACCTGTAGATGTGGATGTTTAAATGAATGATTTTTTGTTTATTCACGGCTAAAACATTGATTTTCCAAATTTATCACCATGTATTTATTGTCATAGCATAGATACACGTGTTGAAAATTAAAATCTTTTAAAAAGTATAACAAATTCAGAAAGAATTAATATATAGCATGCGGTCAAGGTACAATATCACCTTGGATTTTTCTACCCAAAATAAGTGCTTCAATAATGTTGCCTACAATTTTTATAATTTCGTACCATATTTTACCTGAATTTTAGTATTTTAATATCTAAATTGCATTTTTCACACTAATAATTCAATATACATTATTACTTAAGTTCATATTTGAAGCGAATTAATTTGTCAAATTTTGTTCACATGTGCTCTATTCAACCTACTATCAACAAAATTATTGCAGTAAATGGAGAGGAAAAAAGCGTATGCCCAGCTAATCTTAATCTAAAGTTCAGAAGTGAAAACAATTTGCATTTCGTCACCACCCCCCGCATTAATTGGATTATAACTCTTTTAATTCTGATTTTATCATAACTTGTAATATACTATTTTAAAAGTGATTAATTGAGCTACAACTTTCTCTATCATAAATTTTACCGTAACTTCTCTTATTTTGAAACGGCGAAGGGTTAAAGGGCTCGAAAGACACTCCGCTTGAACAGCCGCGCACTCTTTAAAAAATTAGAACTCTATCAATATTTGTGCAACCAAAAATTAATAAAAAGCAATAATTAGTCTGAAAAATACCTTGAATTTTTATATATATACTTTTATACGTATTCTTTCAAAGATATTTTAATGAGAAATTGGTTTTTTGAAAATCGTTTGTACTAATGTTATGGTATTTTCTAGAATCCATCAAGATCTCTCAAACCAAGTTAATTCTAGATGGAAAACGATTATTTTTAATTTTGGTGGAAAGGACACTCATAAACTATTTGATTTAAATGAAAAAAAAAACGTTGTATGCGTCTTTTAATTGCATGATAGCTCACTCATTTTACACGTAGAAGTACTTCTTTAAAGCATATTTGGAGAACTATAAAAACCCATTTTCATAATTAACTTAATATTGTTCCTAAAACACTGTAAAATAGCGATTTATTAGGATTTTTATTGATATAATTTTGTTCATTACATAATTTTCGTTAAAATGTATATTTTTGAATATATTAGCAAAAAACGATGAAAAACGCAAAAAAGAAACAAATTTTCAGTAACCAGTAACTTGAAAAGTATTTGCTTTTTTGAAAAACATTATTAAACATTTTTCTCTTATAATTAGTT